ACAGTTTCCTTTAAAGGAAATCATTCATTGTGTGTTTTCTTCATCTTGCATTGCTGAACCCTGTTTAAAGTGATCATATAACAAACAACTAATCAGTACTGATACTTTATGCTCATAGATAAAGGAGGGACAATAATACAGTAGATGCTTCGAATTTCTTAGATATATCTATGCAGTATTCTTAGTAGACCGAATAGCAGCAGATGATAGAAAGCTCATTAAAACAGGAAGAGACATGAGGGATTTATTTTTTAGAGACTTAAGACTTGACTTGGACTCATGACCAAAGACTTGACACTTGACTTGGACTTGCAAAAAAAGACTTGTGAACATCTCTGGTGCATCCTGCTGACGGCAGTGTATGAATTCAGAGTCACTCATCAGTGCTTTCGAACTTCCACACAAATGTTCACCCCCACATGCAGCCCAGTTCCCACACTGTAGAGCGATACTGTGTTACAGGAGAGCGGCACTGTAGTGCCAGCAGGCTGACATGCACAAAACACAGCAGAGTTCCCTGACAAAAGTACAGGGATTTCATGTTCTCTTTTGTCGTTGATACCAATCCATTAAAATATGGATCTGTCCTGATACAAATCTTTAGGTTTGTCATGAGACATGTCTGGGCTACTGTTGGTATTTTGAGTAATCAATTAATCATTTATTTTAAAACTGTTCAAAGAATTTCAAATTGCATTTATCAGTTACAATTATATTTTTGCTGCAATTACTCAGTGTCATCACTTAAGCTGGACGCCTGTTCTTGGAAGACATCCATGAATGTTTCCATATAGATGGTTCTGTCTCACATGCTTTAACCTGGATAGCATGTTGTACCTCTGGTAGAAGATGGAGTAAATAATGTAGTTCTGAGAGCCCCTTGATTGGCTCACATCCTTGCTGACAGACAGACAGACAGACAGACAGACACACACACACACACAATTATAAAAGCTTTTTTTCTCATCTGTTTGGCCAGCAGTAGTGAGATACTAGCACAGATCAGATTGCTTTTAGCAGCAGGTAATGATGTTGATGGCACCATTTAACAGGGGAGAAGTTTGCACATGCCATCAGTGCGTTGGAGGGCAATCAGTGGAAACAAGGATAAATGAAAAGATATCAAGGAGTACATTCTCACAGTTTTCAGGGGGATGAAATCTGACCATTGGAACCAGAGCTGACCCAGTCTCCTCTGGGCTGTAAAACACCATCATATATTTACAAAAGCCTTTATGGATTTTCATTCCAAAGAAACGAAGGCAGCTGCAGAAAATGACTTTCAGTTTTTCCCTCTGTCATTAGCAGACTGCAGGATGAAGCGTCTCAGGAATTCCTGTCTCTAAAACATCTCCTTTATGTTAACTAGTAAATAAAGCAGTTGCGCAGATAATTTATTCATAAATCATGGACTGATCATATTTTCTTGCAGAGAGAAACCAAACATTTCAGTGATCAAATGCTAACATAGGCTCAGCTGCACATCAGCTACACTCTGCCAGGTATACAAGAGAAGCAGACTTCACATTCATCTCGCATGATATGAATCAAGCACTCCAATACAAAGAATACACTGAAGTATTAGATGTTGTTTTGTACATTCTGCTTGTGATTCTTTTATCTTGCATGATAAACAAACTGCATCACCAAGTCCAATCTGTATAGATTTTCAAATCAATCACTGTTGGTGTGTTCTCTGTCTTTTATCACTTTTTCATGTAATTTCCAGGCAGGAAGAAAAAGTAAAATTCATTATAAATAAAAAATCTGACATGGGTGAAACATTTGGTTGTTAAATTATGTTTGATAAAAACATATTGTACTATGAAGTCAGGAATGAGAAGTTATTGTAGAAAGGTTATCGTAAAACAAAATGAAATATAAAACATAGCAATGTTTTGCAATGTAAGCTTACTATAAAGTTACTACAAGCTACCAGATCTACCAGTAAAAACAGGATCTTATTGTGCGGGTCATAACAGTGTCCCAATAATGGGTCAGTCATTACAAACTAATGCACACAAGTGACACTAAATAAAGATTTCAATTGTAATTCACATTCCAAAGTTTCTAAAGGTCCGAAATGTAATCAGATATTGAGGAAATGTATTTAAATGATGTACAAGACATCTGTAATATTTTAATTTCAGTACAAAAGAACTGCAGGACTAGAATCACCACTTTGTAGTGTAAGCCTCCATCAACCTGTTAACATGCAGTTTACATCAATGTCTGTCCAGACTCACAAAATATATATAAAGATTCTGAAATGTGTAACAAAAAAACACAACAAATAAAAAAAAACAGGCACTTGGCCAGTATAGCTGATTCTGATGGAATACAAACATGTAGCTATGGCAGCAGAACATTATGCTTCAGATTTGGATGTTGCTGCAAAGAAACTACAAATTTTAAAACATGGTTTCTTTTCGAGCTGGAAGCACAGAAGTTCCAAACAACCACCACAGTTTCAAAGTTGCACTGAAACTGCACCAATCAATATCTGACCAAATGTGAAATAGGATAAGAATGTCTTCTTCTGTTCCTGGTGTTGAATAACAGCCAGAAAAGTGTTTGTGCAGAACATATCACAGTCAAGTTGACCTTTTCGATGTAATAGCCATCACTTCATCATTTTATCCTTATACACAATTTTGTGAAAGTTTGTCTAATTAATGTATGAACTATTTTTTGAGGAGACTGTGATGTTTGACTATTAAAATTTTGGTTCACTCCTGAGAGCACAATTTGTCCCACATTTGACAAATGGCATTCCTAAAATACCACATTCATGAGAATTAGATGGACACATCTGGCCACAGTTGTTTCAGGCACAGAGACACAACAGCGGTGGTCTGAAAGCATGTGGTTGATGGTTTCTCTCAGTGGAAATATATATTGAATGAAGAGTTTTTACTGTCAGACAGTGAGGGACACAATGATTTTAATAACCTTAATGCTATGTTATGGGGGAAAAAAGAGTGGAAAATGAATGCTAAGGGGAAAAACAGTAATTAAGTTCAATTTGTCTTTAATTTTATTGTATCATCTTGAATTCTGTAAAATTCTGGTAATGGCTAAGTAACTAATTACTGCCTCTGTTTCTGAGGGCCCTCATTTTTATTGTTCTTAAGCCATTGAACAATATAATGCCTCTCTTTGTAGTTTCATAAAACAGAATCTAAGTGACAATAACTTGAGAGTTCTGTCTCTCAGCTATCATGTTTTCTCTCCGACCAAACCAACATGTGTTAGCAACTATGTACAAATAACAAGCAGCAAGCCAAGTAATTTCAAAAACCTTGAGCCTGACATTTTCGTGACCATTATGCCCTTGGGTTTGGATATTGCTTGGCAAAAATTCTGTTTACTTTCCTAAAGAAATCGGTTTAATTCATCTCTATACCACCACCTCTGACCTAGCAACATGGGTGATGGAGAGGAAGGAGGGGATGGAGGGAGGCCAACAGCTGTCTTCAGCTCTGTTTGCTCTACACAACAGTTTTGCTCCATATTTGCAAAAGTGCACCCAACCTATTCTGAGGAATCTCAGTTCTCTTGTAATTGCACCTCTTCTACATCTGCTGTTTCATTGGAAAATTGATTGAAAAATTACAAACTGCTACTTCAATAATTGGACAGGGTTTTTGTTTTTTGTGTGTGTTTGTTTTTTTTACTTCATTGCACAGTGTTGTATATCACCATTGCTATTTGATGTATTTTACCAGAGGTGGCTTTACTTTCTGCATATCAAGGTAATGGACAACATCAGTTAGAAAAATGTCTGCGGTGACGGCAGGCTGCATTAAAATCTATGGCCATCCTTAAGCCAACAATAAGAGCCAAAATGTTATGTAAAAATCATGCTGGTTGCTTTCACAAAATTCTTGTTTAAACAGCGTGCTCTGTGATTCAGTCTTACCTTGGTATCTGAGCAGGACTGATCCAGCCTGAGACCTCGGGCTATGGAAGCGGATAGAGATCTGATTGCTGTGACTTCGTACTACCAACCCCCTCATCAGAATGGACTCGTTGGCCAGCATGGTGTTCTCCCGGTGGCCCACATCTTCAAACGCCACCTTGTCTCCCTCAGATAGATTCACATTCATCACCTGACAGAAAACAGAGTAGGGATTAGCCCACTTGTACATCACATAAAAAACACAGCAACAAAAGATCCACATCCTCCCAGGTCTCAGAACCTGAAGCAAGAAACCAACAAAAGCTGCATCCTATTCAGGTGAGGGTGTTGTAGTGTGCTGCAGAAGCTGATGATCATATTCCTCACAGCAATTACCTCTTCTTTTTCACATCTGATTTCCAACAAAATCCAAAGTCAGTAGCAGTTGTTGGCTGCTGGTTTTAGACGTGCTTAAACCTTCATTTGGTGCCTTAATAAAATTCAATAAAGCATTCTAAAACCTATGCAGACAAAAATTAAACTGATTGTATTTATTTGTTTGTTTGCTGCATCCAAGGTTGAGACTAAAATTTCATCCTTAGACATATTATATTTATTCAGGCATTTTTTTTATACTCTTGTACATGATGTATCTATAACAACAGCCCATCATTATATTCACATCACAAATGATCTATCCAGTTGGTTCCAAAAGACTGAAACTGTGGTTCCAATGCAAACCTTGACAAAAATCACAGCGTTTAATGATTTGTAAACATTTAAAAACAAGAAGAGAAAAAAAATGTAGGGAGGAAATGTTTCAGATTCTGCACTGCTTCAGGGTCACCAATGAAACCAAAGCACCTGCAGTGAATCGACTCCACCCTCACCGAGGAGAGGCGGTCCTCCATTCGTCAGTGACATGCTTTATCTTCTAATTTGCATCTTTGTGGAGACGGATTCATACAGCAGCAGCAGGATAATGAGTCCAAACACAGTGTACTTGATTAATAAATGTATTAAGTTGATACTGATACCATTGGAGGATTCTGCAGGATAGAACAAAAAATAAATAAATCACAAAGTCCTGCTGTTTAATAACAACATGCAATGAGAAGAAAGCTGCTCAAAAACAGAGGCTTTAAATGATATGAAAATTCCCCTGTTTACATAGAATGCATTTGCAGCTATGGCCACTTACATCAAAATTGCACCCAACTCACTAACACTTTGCAATAGCAGTTCCCCCACATTGTTCTGGATAATTTCGAAAGTGGTATAAAGTCTTTGCACAGAGTTTATCCATTCAGAGTGGCAGCCATTATTGTTGCCACACTGCGAACTGTCATCAGCAAGTGAGAAAGCAAAGCAGAGAGAGTTCTTCAATTTCCGATTAGATAATAAAATGCTCCTATTATGAAAGAGCTTCAGGGTGCAGAAGTGGCAGCCTTCGTAGATTAATTTTACATCTGAAGCTATTTGCACTTACAATTTGCGACGGAGGGGTTATTACTTGCACAGTTCAAGGGCTTGTTTGCACTTAAACTAGCAATGATTTCCCTGTGAAAAAAAAGGCACTGGTGAAGTGAAGAACGTTGACCTGACAGACTGACTGTGACCTTCACCTTGCGGTTCAAGCACTGTCTGTGATATTTCATCATGAACATATCAGCATGTGCTGTAACAAGCTGCACTGGAGGTTCGCTTTGCACAGCGCTAAGGCGCAAATCAAAAGTAAGAAATATGGGAAAAGCTAAAAGGACAATGTAGAGCTCAGTGATTACGCTGCAGATAAGCCTGATAATTGTCATCTTGTCTCCTATGCTGACAGCATGTCTGGTGAGAAATGCCATTTTTTATCAGCTTTTTATCACAGCAGGTATATCTTTATTCAGGCGTTAAAAGGAAGGAGGCGTCTTGTCTTGATGCGGTCCTCCATAGATCAAATCAACTGCATCCTGTCTCACCTGGCTGAGAGCTGGATCCACAGCTCCCATGAGAAAAAGCTGCTGAGGGAAACTGTGGAGATGTGAATCCACTGACAGGACACAGGCGTCAGTTACCAGCAAGTTTGTGAAGATCAAAACGGGACTTGAGACTGCTGTTTGGGGAGGAACAACACTGTGAAGAATGTTGACCTACTTAAAGCCTAATATAATGTGAATGTATTAAGAGGAGAATAAATTTCATAGACTTAATGTGAAATACTGCGCAGTAGATATATTATATTTAACCCTTAAATGCGTTGGTCAACACTTAGGCACACTAAGACATATTAACACAGTAACTTTTCTAGAGCGTAGCATTAAAAACAACAAATGAAAAAGTCTGTCAGTTTAGTTCACATCACATATATCTAATATAAATGTCAGAAATGTATTTTTCTGTATTCTGACATATATATCTATATATTTCATGTTTTTACTGTCACATCCCACATATGGCTTCAACCATCCATCCATCCATCCATTTTCTATACACCACTTAATCCTCATTAGGGTCGCCGGGGGGGCTGGAGCCTATCCCAGCTGACTTAGGGCGAAGGCAGGGGACACCCTGGACAGGTCACCAGTCCATCGCAGGGCCACACTCACATTCACACCTATGGACAATTTAGAATCACCAATTAACCTCA